CCTTGGACCGTCTCGGGGGCGTCTCCGAGCCTTCTTGGCGCGTTCCAGGAGCGCTTTGGGAGGCCTGGAACGCAGCGCCGAGGAGGAAAACCATCCCTGAGCCGAACTGGCCGGGACCTGGTCGGGGTACTTTTCGTCCGGGAGCCCCCAGAAGCCGCCCCGCGCGCGCGAACTAGAATAGATTGTCAAGCAGTTGCCGGAGATCTTAGCACGCCTCTGGCCCGGTGGGCCGGCGAATTCTCTGGGAGGCCCTGCGCCCATCTACTTCTTCCGCCTTCTTGCTTCATGTGTTTCCTCACTGCTTCCGACCGACGTGTCCTTCGGGGCTGGACCTGAATGCTGTTTTTTGCTGGGCTTCGGCTGCGTTTTGTTGTTCGTTCCGCGAGGGAGGTACAGGAAAACAGGTAGCGTAAAACGGACAAGACAACGAACAGCAAAACGAAAAAACAGCGTTTAGGTCCAGCCCTGGCGTGCTTCCTGCCTCCTCCCCGCTTTCCGGGGCGCTGGCCGCCTGCTGCCGCTTGTGCAGCTGTCGTCGCTCCCGCGGGCTGCCGGGAGGTCCAGCGGAGGGCGGTCCTACGGGGGGGGCCCAAGCGAGGCCTCCCCTCCCTCGGGTGGTGTCGAGTGCGCGGCCGTCGCCACTCGTGTGAGTTCCTGTGAGGTCCAGCGGGGTGACGCATTACGGGGATGGGACCTCGCGCTTCCTGTATGGTGCCAGCTGTGTAATTCTCGAATGCTCCGTGGGCTCGTGTCCGAGCGTCATGGTTATGTCCCCCGTCCTAGTAGTATTCTTCTTCCCCTTCTTCTACCTGGTCCTCCTCCTCATTATCATCCCCTTTTTGTTCTGACTCTCCTGACGCTCCGCCGCCTCCTCATCTCATGTTCGTTCTCACGCCTCTTCTCCTTAGTCTCGCTCTCGTCCTGCTCGTGGTCGTCGTTGTCCTTCTCATCGCCCTCTCCTCGCATTCCGAGCCCTCCCATTCCTGCATCTTCCCCCTTCATCTCATACGCCCTCTTCTGTCATCATATTCATCCTTCGGCCCTGGGCCTGAGAGCCGACGACGAAGGATGTGAGCGACGGTACAGAGGTAGGTGGAGAGCAAGGGCTCGGATGGAGGGCGACATGAGACCTGGTACCCGGTCCTTCACCGGGGTCAAGCTTGGCATCGCTCGGACGTGTGCATGTCTCCTTCGGCGAGGACCATCGAGGAGCATCCTTGACCACTTGGCGAAGAAGCCGCGCACGAAGCCGAAGAAAAGCACAGGGAAGGGACGCCCGAGCGATGGCCGGCAAGTGGAAACACGGCGCCTCACAGGAGCTTCGCGGAGTCGGCACCCCTTGCCCTGCAGCAGGTCCGTGCCGTGCCGGCGCGGCGGCGGCCCCGAATCGTGGGCGTTTTCGAGGCGGAGCGCCGCCAGTGGCCCGGAGAGTCGGCCGAGGTCGAACGAGCTGCGCCAGCGGGGAGCCGCGGTCGCTCGAGGCTCCTCCCCCTCCTCCTCCTCCTCCTCCTCCTCCTCCTCCTCCTCCTCCTCCTCCTCCTTATCCTCCCCCTCCTCCTCCTCCTTATCCTCCCCCTCCTCCTCCTCCTCCTCCTCCTCCTCCTCCTCCTGAAAGACCCGCGCGGTGTCAGAGACCAAGGCCGAGGTCGTCACGACACGGGCCCGCCGCAGGCGGAGGCGGGCGGGAAGCCCGCCCAGCGCGGAGGGGGGTGCGCGAAGGCTGGCGGAGGGGCAAAGGTCTTGGTGCAGGCGGGAGGCTTGCGGGGAGTGGCGGGGAGGCTCGCGAGGGCCAGCTGCGCCTCGCGCGGGAATCCGGGGCTCCGGACCTTGTGCCGCGCCCTGTCTGTGGCAGCACAGCGGCTGAGCGACGTCGGCACGTCAGCGGTGCTCCGTGGCCCAGCCTGTCCAGAAGGGTGCCCTCAGTCCGGAGGTTGTTTTGTCCGCTTGCGCGTGACGGTCGTTACCCCCCCCGCCGAGTAGTGGAAGCGATCGTGCGCAGGGGATTTTGGATTGCGCTCTGATTCGCCGAGGAGACGGTCAGCTTGTGCGAAGGGGGAGGAGGGAGGCAGGACCTCCCCCATGATGGTGCTCGCCCGCGTATTGTGGCGACGTCAGCGGGCCCCCGCCCCGACGTGCCCCCCCCCCTCCCAAGCGTTACCGTTGCCCATGCTCCCCCCTTCGGGGTAGCGACCCTCTTGCCGGAAGTGGCGCTGAGGCGGGCTCCAGGAGGGTCCGCGCTCTCCTCGGCCTCCGCCGGGCCAGCTCCGTCTGGGGGGCCCCCCTGTGGGCCAACTTGGGGCCCTCTTGGGGTGCCCGAGGGCCATATTGTTGGAGGCTTCCTCGGGCGTCTTGGAGACCTCTCGGGTCGTCTTGGGGCCCTCCTGGGCCCGTCTCCGGAGCCTCTTGGGCGCTCTGCTCCTCGCCAGGGCGCCCCGCGGGCGCGGCCTCGGTCCCCCTCCGTGATGGCCCTGCCGTGCCTCGCGCCGGCCTTCGGCTCTCGCTGCCAGTCCGGGCGGGCCCTGGGCGGTCGCGCGGCGAGGCACGAGAGTGAAGCAGTGGCGACGCGTCCTGGCTCGCCTATAGCCCTACCAAACAATGTTCTAAGAACCTTTTGCGGTTTCCACGAACTGTTCTCAGAACATTTCTGGCTGATGTTGTCTTGTTTCAACACGTCGGGCTTATGTTCTAAGAACGTTGCTTTTGTTATTAGAACATACTCGGGCGCTAAGAGCATTTCGTGGTAGGACTATAGGAATGCCGGGACGGTCGGTCCCTGCTCAAACCTTCGCCATGGTCGGAGGCCCAGAGGTTGACACCAACGCCAGTATCGGTGTTGTGCCTCCGCCGAGGGAAGAGGATCCCAATCTCGGCGATGGTGGTAACATTCTGGCTCCCTAGGCGGCCGAAAGGTTACCACGACCAACACCGACAGATTGTTACCAACACCGAATGCAGGGGCTTTTGTCGGGCCGGGCGAAAGGGCTGGGATTGGGAAAGGGGGGGTTACGAAATTTGCTGCATGCATGCAGCTGGTTTCGGCCTCACCGAGGGGCCCATTCCTCGATGCATGGCCGCCTCCGGCGCCGGGAGGCGCCGGGAAAATCAGCTACGTGAGCTGATTCTCAACCCCCCCCTTTGCTATCCCCCCCTTGTCGCCCGACCCGATTTTGTTATTGGAACATTTGTGGGCGCGAAGAGCACTTCGTGGGAGGACTATGGGGATGCAGGGACGGTCGGCCCCTGCTCAAGAGAGGCAGGCGGGGCGCGTGCCGTGGCGTGCCGCCCCTCGGCCGAGCGCGCCCGGGGGCCGGGCCTCCTCGGAGGCCCGTCGGGGTCGGCGAAGAGGGGGGTGACGACTAGGGTTAAGTCGGGCCTGTCCCTCGACAGGGAGATGTTCGACGAAGAACAAAAAAAACACCCCCAAAATAGTCCAAAAATAGTCCGTGGACTATTTTGTGAGTATGTTTCCACCTTTTGGGGGTATGTTTCTATTGTTTTAAATGAAAAAAGAAAGAACTATTTTTCGTCGAAAATCCCCCCATGTAGGGGGACAGGCCCGACTTAAGACTAGGGGGGGTGGATGTCATGGCGTGGGCCATGATATTTCCCCAGATTTCATGGCGCCTCTTCTTATTTCATTACATCCCCAGCCCCCCTTCGCGCACATGCCGCCGGTTATGATTTACACCCCCCCCCCCTCTTGGACGCCCCCCTCTTGGCCGCCCCCGAGCTCGGGGGGCCCGAGCCTCGCGCCATCTGTCGGGTATAGCCAGGGCCCCAGGTAAGGGGCCCCGGTTCGTAGGCCCCAGAACCTTCTTTAAATTGGGAGCCCCCAAACCAGGTGGTGAGATACCAGGTGGCGACCTGGAATCCCCAAAAAGGGCACCGCTGGGTTTGGGGACGCGGGGTCACCGCCGGGTTTTGTGACTCCTGGACCCACCAACGTTCGGGACATCCTCGGAAAACCGCACGAGTCCCCAAACCGGGTGGTGACACCAAACCGCACGAGACTCACCGCCAGGTGTTGTCACCACCACGTTTGGGGACTACCAATAATCGCCCAGAATCACTAAAAGCCAGGTCTGCCGTAGCTAGCGCTTTTCGGGTAACGGCAGCTCCAGGTAAGTGGAACGGGGCGGGGGGGGGGGGGCGTCCCCCAGTAGTTACACATCACTAAACCAGGTCCCACCAAACCCGCAACGCCCGAACGATGCCCAACAGCAGCTCCTGTTCATTTTGAACAGGACTCGCTGTCCGCGCCGCCGCAGGCACTGTCCTTTGCAGACAACAGGCCGCCTGCGCAGCAGCGGCCGCTGTCGGTTTTGAACAGCATGTGCTGCTCGGCACTGTACCCGTTTGTTCCGTACCCACGTCGGGCGTCCAAATCCTGGTCTGTCGTGGGAGGCGGGAGAGGGCGATTGACGGGGGGGTGGGGCTCCGTTTGGGATCGGGAGCCTTGGAAAGGGGGTCGATGTGTAAACGGGTGTAGAAGCTGGTCACTGGAGAGGCGGCATGTCATGTTGAGGGCATGTGCAAACATATGTTAATTCATTTTGGATCATTGTTGCAACATGGCCGAAACATTTCAAACACATGTTTAATGCAATGCTTGGACTGTTCGAGTGTCCATTGTCATGAGATCCACAAAGCAAGCGCGAGCCAGTCACAACGCCAGATTTTACAGGATCCTGCAGTGCCAGGGCTGCACTGGCACGGTCTAGCTTGCAGGATCCTGCAGAGCCCGACTCGGCGGCGAGCGAGGCGGGGAAGTGAGAAGGAGAAGGCCTTCTCAGAAGGCCGCGGGCCTGCTCGGAAGCCCTCGCGCCCTCTGAAAGGCTCTCTGCGCCCTCGGGGAAGGCTCCGAACACTTCTCAGAAGGCAGGGGGACTTCCGAGCCCTCTGCGAAGGCCTTCCCCTCCTCGCTTGCCCCCCTCGCGCGCCGCCGATCGACGGGCCCGGGCTCTGCGCTGGCCAAGGGTCGGTGCGGCCCCGGCCCAGAGGCGGTCTACGTGGCAGACAACAGCTGCCTCCACGCCAAGACCCCGGGCGGGGGCGGGGCCTCTCTGCGCAGGGCGGGGGGGGGGGCAGCTGCGGCAGGGGCGGGGCGCACCGCGGCGTGGCCTCCGGACGGCCCCCGGGGGGCTGTTCTCTGCAAGCTCTCGCTCGGGGGCGGCAGAGAGGGGGGTGACGACTGGGGGGGGATGGGGGGGGACATCCTGGCGTGGGCCACGATGTTTCTCAAGATTTCGTGGCGCCTCTTCTTGTTTCAACGCGTCCCTGGCCCCCCCCCCTGGGCTGCGCACGTGCCGCCGGCCATGATGTGTGCCCCCCCCCCCCCCCCTCTTTGACGCCCCCCTCTTGGCCGCCCCCGACTCCTGGGTGCCCTCGGGGGCCCAGACTCAGGGGGGGATGTGCTCCCGGGGGCGACGCAGCGGCCCCCGAGCACCCACTGCTCGCCGAGGGGGCGCCCGACGGCCCACCGCGCCCGGGAGCGTGCGGATTCGGATTCGCCGTCAGGGGGCTGTCGCCGATCTGTGGGCGGTGCAGCGCCGATCCCAGGTCGACGTTCTCGCGCTCTCAAGGGCTGAGCAGAGGGGCGCTGGCACGGGCAACGTGCCCCCCCCGCGGCCGCCGCTGCCGCTCTCTGTCCTTGTCCTTCACCTCTCGCCATCATCCTGTTTGAGCTTCAACCGTCCGCCCGGATCAGCAAGAAGAAAAAAAAAGGAGTTGGAGGAGGAGGAGGAGGAGGAGGAGGAGGTGGAGGAGGACAGGGCATCTTGGGAGCCTCTGGGGGCACTCTTGGGGGCCTCTAGGGGGTTTCCTGGGAGCCTCTTGGGGGCCTCTTAGGGGCCTCTTGGAGGCATCTTAGGGGCCTCTTGGGGGCCTCTTTGGCAGTCTCAGGGCATTCTTGGCCCGCCTGACGCCGTCGGAAGCCGTCTTGGGGGCCTCTCTCGGCCGATTGGGGGCCATTTTGGGGTGCTTCAGGGCCGTCTTGGAGGCCATCTTGGGCGTCTTGGAGGCATTTTGATCCGTCTTGTCGCCCTCCTGGGGCGGTCTTGGGGGCCTCTTGGGCCGTTCTGGGGCCGTCCTGGAGGCCTCTTGGGCAATCTTTGGGGGCTCTTGGGCCGTGTCAGGCCGTCGGAAAGCCGAAAAGAAGCACATGCCAAAATCCTTCAACAACCTAAGGAACATGAGTGATTTTGTTCTCTTCGGGCCTTCCTGGAGGCCCTCTTGGCCCTCTCTTGGGCCGTCTTGGAGGCCTTTGGGGTGCCTTTTGGGCCGTCGTAGGCCATCTCAGAGCCATCTTGGGCCATCCTGATGGGCTCCTAGCCCGTCTGACGCCGTCGGAAGTTGTCTTGGGGGTCTCTCTGGGCCGATTGGGGGCCATCTTGGGGTGCTCAAGGACCGTCTTGGAGGCCATCTTGGGCGTCTTGGAGGCATTTTGGTCCGTCTTGTCGCCCTCCTGGGGCTGTCTTGGGGGCCTCTTGGGCCGTTCTGGGGCCATCTTGGATGCCTCTTGGGCGATCTTGGCGGGCTCTTGGGCCGTTTCGGGCCGTCGGAAAGCCGAAAAGAAGCACATGCCAAAATCCTTCAACAACTTAAGGAATATCAATGATTTGGGCCCGTTCGGGTCTTCCTGGAGGCACTCTTGGAGGCCTCTTGGGCCGTCTTGGAGGCCTCTTGGGGCCTTTTGGCCCGTCGTGGGCAATTTCAGAGCCATCTTGGGCCATATTGATGGGTTCCTGGCCGGTCTGGCTCCGTCCGAAGTTGTTTTGGGGGCCTCTCTGGGCGGGCTGGGGGCCCTCTTGGGGTGCTCAAGGGCCTTCTTGGCGGCTGGATTGGAGGCATCTTGAGCCGTCTTGTCGCCCTCCTGGGGCTGTCTTGGGGGCCTCTTGGGCCGTTCTGGGGCCGTCGTGGAGGCCTCTTGGGCGATCTCGGGGCGATCTCTGGGGGCTCTTGGGCCGTCTCGGGCCGTCGGAAGGCCGAAAGAAGCAAACGCCCAAATCCTTCAAACACCTATGGAATATCAATGCTGTAATTTTGGCCTCTTGGGGCTCTCTTGGGGGCCTCTTGGGGCTCTCTTGGGACGCTTCAGCGGCCTCCTGGGCCGTCTTGAGACATTGTTGGGCCTTCTTGAGCCTTCTGGGAGACTTCTTGGACGAACTTGGAGGCATCTTGGACTCTCTTGAGCTGTCTTGAAGGCCATCTTGGACCATGTTGGCCGAACTTGGAGGCCATCTTGACCGTCGTGGAGGCATCTTGGGCCGTCTTGTCGCCCTCCTGGGGCTGTCTTGGGGGCCTCTTGGGCCGTTCTGGGGCCGTCGTGGAGGCCTCTTGGGCGATCTCGGGGCGATCTCTGGGGGCTCTTGGGCCGTCTCGGGCCGTCGGAAGGCCGAAAGAAGCAAACGCCCAAATCCTTCAAACACCTATGGAATATCAATGCTGTAATTTTGGCCTCTTGGGGCTCTCTTGGGGGCCTCTTGGGGCTCTCTTGGGACGCTTCAGCGGCCTCCTGGGCCGTCTTGAGACATTGTTGGGCCTTCTTGAGCCTTCTGGGAGACTTCTTGGACGAACTTGGAGGCATCTTGGACTCTCTTGAGCTGTCTTGAAGGCCATCTTGGACCATGTTGGCCGAACTTGGAGGCCATCTTGACCGTCGTAGAGGCTATCTTGAGCCGTCTTGGAGAGTTGTTTGCGGACGTTGTGCTCGTTTGCGCTCGTTTGCGCTCGATTGTGCGGCCTTCCAGGAGGCCGGCGGGCTGGGCCAGAGCCCCAGGGGAGAGTTGTTTGGGAAAAAGAACCAAAACCAAAACCGAAAGGGTCGAAGCACGCCGGGCACCCCTGTGGCAAGCCGGCAGGGGGCGGCGGACTTTTGGAAAAAGAACCAAAACCAAATTGGCAAGGATCCAGCACGCCGGGCACCCCTGTGGCAAGCCAACAGGGGGCGGCGGATGTAGTGGCCTTCGGCCCAACACGCTACCGTACCTGGGCTGTGGGTCAGGAGCTTCGTGGATGAATCTGAGGGTCTCGTGGGATGCCTCTCAAGGGGCCTCTTGGAGGGATCTTGGGTGCATCTGGGAGGCTTGTTGGGGGCGTCTTGAAGGCCTCTTGGGGCCTCCTGGGGGCGCCTTGGGAGCATCTGGGGGCTCTTGGGGCCGTCTTGGGCCAAGGCTCGAAGTATCAGTTCGTATTCCCGCTCTTGGGCTCTCTTGGGGCACTCCTGGGCTGTCTTTAGGCCCTTTTGGGGGCCTCATCGGCCGTCTTGTGACGATCTTGGGGGTCCCTTGGGTAGTCTTAGAAGCTGCCAAGACGAACAAGAACGAGTGCTGCAAATGAACGTCTTCCTCAGGGAATGTGACGGCTTGTGCCTCCTGGGGCCTTTTCGGCAGTCCTCTGGGAACACTTTTGGGCCGTCTTGGGGGCTTCAAGGGCCGTCTTGGGGCTCTCTTGGGTCGTCGCGGGGCTACTCTGGGCCGCCTCGACACTCTCTTCGACTGTCTTGGCACTCTGCCTGGGCCCTCTTGTGGCTTTTTTGAAAGCTCCAGACGCCCCAGGGGCGTTGACGAGCTCGTCCCCCTCCACCCCACCCCAACCCATCCCCCCTCAAACGGCATTTTAATTGGACCCCAGGGGAGGCAGAAAGGTGGAGGGGGACAGCCAAATGTCTCACACGCCTTGTCGCCCCCGGCAAGCGGGGGTCGGCGAATCTGGAGCCACGTTTGGCGATATTGTGCCATCTTGGAGCCCCCTGGGGCTATCTGTCGCCATCTTGGACGCTCTGACCGCTCGCCCCCCCTCAAGACCCAGTGGAGGGGGTAGGGGGAGGGGTCAAGCTACCCCCTCCCCGCCAGCAAGCCGTCTCGCTCACTCCCACCCGCCCTCCCAACACATACGCAGCACCCGAGTCTGGCCCGAGCCTCAGCATATTCAGCAGTCGTCTTTGGATGGGCAGCTACTGGGGGCCAATCCGCCGCCGCCGCCGCCGCCGCCGCCGCCGCCGACATCGCCGCCGCCGCCGCCCCCCGCTGCCAAACCGCCGCCGCAGCCGCTGTCGCCACCGCCATCGCCACCGCCGCCGCCGCCGCCGCCGCAGCCGCCGCCGCCGCCGCCGCCGCTGCCGCCCCCGCCGCCGCCGCCGTCGCCGCCGCATCCGCCGTAGCCGCCACCGCCGCCGCAGCCGCCGCAGCCGCCGCCGCCGCCGCCAAGTGTACTCTGTATTGTTTTTTGACAGAATCAGGGATTCGCCTCTTAACTTTCAGGGGAACGAAGACGGCCCGAGAGGCCGCCAGGATCGCCCCAAGACAGCCCAAGAGGGTTCCAAGCCAGCCTTGGAGATAGTTTATCGGGTTGGCCTGTCAATTTGGTGATCCGCAACCGTTGGTTCTAATCAGCCGCGCGAGCCGGTAGTTCGCCCCTCTATGGAGTGGGCGAGGGCTGCCGCTGCTGGCGCCGGCGGCTTGGCACACCTGGGCAGCCTGTGGTACGGCCAGCGCTGTACCTGCCAAGTCGAGTTGGGAGACGGTTTCTCGGTGGACCGTGAGCTGCTGCGCCTGCTGGAAGGGCACCTGCAGAGGTGCGGGCCCGCCAACCTCACGGTGCCGGCGCCGTGCCCGCCCCCAGAGTGCTCGGGCTATCCTGGGCTGGTGGTCCTCCTGGTGTCGGTGCTGGCTTTCCTGGCAGGGTTCGCCGCTGCTGCCTCCTGTGGCTGGTGGTGCTTGAGTCGCTCGGAGGGTCGTGCCACGTCTGCGAGCTCAGAGACTCCGTACCTGACCGACGGAAGCGATGTCAGAGCATCTTCGTCAGGGCCAGCGAGTGCTCGTCTCTTACGACGAGGACCCGCGCGAGCTGTTGTGGCATGAGCGCCTTCTGTGCGCGCACGTGCACGAAGGCTCCTGGGTGGTGACCACACCCGAGAGAGACATGTATCTCGAGGACCTCCAGGAGGGCGTCGAGAGCCTCGTCTGGTTGGGTCCCATGGGAGGCCTGCCGATCGGGTGGAACCGTGGGCCTACACACCTGTTCAGGAACTCGTCCCAGGGCCCGCT